GAGAACTCAAATTCTGCAAGTATAAAGAGCTAGTTACCCAAATTGATAAATAAATATATAAATAAATATGTTGGCTAAGAGTGTAACAAAAATAAGTAATACAATAGAGGAAATGTATAAATAAATATGCCTTAATAAGGATTGCTGAGCACAGTGACCCATGCCTGTAATCCCAGCATTTGGGAGGTTGAAACAGGAAGATTGTAACTTGAGGCCAGTCTGGACTACATAAGACTCTATTTCTGAGAAGCAAGCTGAGAAGACATAAAAGAAGACACAAGGACCGCAGAAGCTATGGGAATACTTGGTTTTTGGTGTGATACATGCGAGGAGTGGCATTTACACATGTGTGCATGTGGAGATCAGGAGTGTTTTCTCAATCTTTTTCTCTTCTTCTTTTTCTTTTCTTTTCTTTTCTTTTTTTTAAAAAGAGGATCTGTCACTGAACCTGAAACTTTCCAGGAGTCATCCTGCCTCCATCTCCCCTCCCTTCACCAGCCCTGAGATTTGCACACTCTGCTAGCCCATTATTTTACTGAGTGCTGTGGATCTGAACATAAGTCCTCTTGTTTACAATAAGCCCTGTATGGACTGAGCCACCTCCCCAGTCCCCTGTGCAGGCTTTTTCTTGATAGTTTGTGTTCCACATTCTCTCTAAATATTAATTTTCCTCTCCCATTTGAAACAAGGTATTGGTGTTGATATTTATCTTTGGGCTGGTCCTGGAGCGTCATCAGCCCCACCGGGAGATGGGCGGTGTCACTGCTGGGGTTTGTATCTCCACTGTCTGCCAAAGCACCTGAACACCTCAACATCACCACATCCCAAAGGACAGTGGCATCTTGTCAGGCAGAGTCCTGAAATTGTTCTTGTTCCAACAGATACAGAAAGCTGCCTGGAGGCTGCGTGAAGAAAGCGCACAACTTGCCTCGGTGGCTTTCCCGTCTTCGTTCCAGATCTCTCTGATATATGACCGCATATGACCGTGTTATGACTTTGCTATCTAATTTCCCAGACTCCATCACTCTTTTTCTCTCAGATTCTGCTAAAGAGAGACACAAAAGGAGACCAGAAGGCAGGGGGAGAGGAGGATTAGTTGAGTTAGTTAGCTACTATTTGCTCTGTTTTCATAGTTACTTTGCCACTGGACGTAGTGTCCAGCCTTGAGCTTCCTTCTGTGCTCTGGGAACCATCAGAGAGGGTCTGAGAAGGAATGAGCAGTCTCCTGTGGTAGCTTCTCCTGAGCCTGCTTCTCAACTCTGCAGGGCTCCAACGGTAAAGTCCTCGATGTTGCCAGATATTTGATTGCACTGTGAGACCCCGAGACTGTGTTTGTAGGGTCCATGGGTCTACCCCTGCTCCTGGGGTTCATCTTGAGAACAGTTTCGGGTCAGTCAGCTAAAGCATTCAGTTTGTTCCTGTGCTCCCTCTGCCCTGCCTGGTGATTAGCTGTAGGGCATTGTTTACTCCATCTTGGGTATGGCAATTTCCCACCTGCCTGGAGGGAATTCCTTGTGCTAGGTATTTACAGCTGTTCCCAAGGTTGAATCTGCTGAGCGTGTGTTCTTTCAATCTCCAGGCCCTTACCCGGCTTGTGTGAGTTACGGTGGCATGCGAACTGTACTGAGAGGGTAACACAGACGCAGTTGTTACATGTGTTAATAAAATTAAACTTGGATGAGGGTGGAACCAGCAACTAGTTGACAAGAATTAGCTATAGAGAGTATGGAGGACCTAGAAGATGGAAAGACATACAGGAAGGAGTAGGGAGGTATACAGGCTTTTTATTTTAGGCTACCAACCAGCTCCCAAATCATGACACAGACTTATTGATTAATGCTTGGCTTTATCTTATGCTTGTCCCACCAGCTCTCATAACTTAACCTGTTTGTCTTCATCTACATTTGCCTCAGGGATTTTTACCTTTCTTTCTTTCTGTATGTTTATTTTCGCTGCTTCTTATGTCTGGCTGGCTGGTGACTGCCCAACTTCTGGCCCCAGGTGTATCCCTTTTTCTTTCTTATTCAATCCTCCTCTTCTTTGCCTAAATTTCTCCTCCTACTTATTCTCTCTCCCTGCCAGCCCTGCCTATTCCTCTCCTGCCTAGCTATTGGTCATTCAGCTTTTTAATTACACCAATCAGATGACGTAGGCAGACAAAGTGAAACAAATGCAATACATCTTTACACAGTTAAACAAAGGCAGCAGAAACAAATGTAACACGTCTTTATAGTATTAACAAAGTCAGCATAAACTAATATAACACTTCTTTTTTTTTTTTTTTAAATATTTATTTATTTATTTATTATGTATACAATATTCTGTCTGTGTGTATGTCTGCAGGCCAGAAGAGGGCGCCAGACCTCATTACAGATGGTTGTGAGCCACCATGTGGTTGCTGGGAATTGAACTCAGGACCTTTGGAAGAGCAGGCAATGCTCTTAACCACTGAGCCATCTCTCCAGTCCCTATAACACTTCTTTATAGCATTAACAAAGTCAGCATAATCTAATGTAACATATTTTTGCCCTGAACACTCCACAATGGAGAGGAACTTAGAGATTCTTGGGCCTTTTTGGTTGGGGAAAGGAGAGATGCCCCTTTGCTGGGTCTCAGGCCAAAAAGGAAGGCCAACTGGTTGCTTCTTGGCTTTTCTGGTCTAGCAGGTTTTCACCTCGATATCTGACTCCCCAGTATTCATTGGTAAATAGACAATTTAGATAAAAACACCACCTCTGCTCTTTCTCAGTCCTGGCTGCCATTTGTCACTACTACTTCTGTGTCGTCTCAACATTCTCTTCTCCTCGCTCTTTCAGTGTGCCAGCCCCTAAGGAATCAGTTTCCTGTACTTACAACCCCTCGACTGAGACACGCGATGTACTCTCTGTCTTAAACACAAGATTATCCTCATGGTAGAATGGATACACATGCCATAGACACACACTGAAATAACATATAAGAAAAACAAGTTTTCTAGAAAGAAAGAAAGAAAGAAAGAAAGAAAGAAAGAAAGAGAAAAGAAAGAGCCGGGCAGTGTTGGTGCACGCCTTTAATCCCAGCACTCAGGTGGCAGAGGCAGGCAGATCTCTGTGAGTTCAAGGCCAGCCTGGTCTACAAGAGCTAGTTCCAGGACAGGCTCAAAAGCTACAGAGAAACCCTGTCTTGAAAAACTTAAAAAAAAAAAAAAAAAAAAGAAAGAAAGAAAGAAAGACGAGTCTCCCAACTAATGTTGAAAGAAACAATCACTGACTGGGTGTGGTCACAGGCCTTCAACCCCAGCACTCAGGAGGCAGAGGCAGGCAGGGCCAAATAGTGAGGAGGAAGAAGAGGAGAAAGATGGGGAGGAGGGGAGGAAGTAGTCCCATCTTCATTCAGACCTTGCTTCAGCTCTATAAAGTTTCAACGCCGAGAATGTTATAGTGTTTTATTGTTGCACACATAGGTGATAAAAGTATAATAAAAAGGAAGGAAACAGTTATTGTAAGTCAGGATAGGATAAAGAACAAGCAGGTCCAAACAATACCGAGCTGGGAGGTGGCCAGTGGTACTCTCCTAGATGTGTGAGGCCCTGAGTTTAAATCACACCATTAGGGAAAACACCTTACCAGACATCTTCCTTATCAAGATGTGCTGCTACATAAAGGCAGGCATAGACCAATGGGCAAAACAGAGACCCCAGCTATAGACTCTTGGATATATGGCCAAATCATTTCGTGTGTGTATGACAAGACCAGTCAATAGGAGGAGAGACAGTACCTGACACTACTTCCAAAATTCACTTAAAGTGGAGGGCATGGTGGTGCACACCTTTGGTTACAGCACTCAGGAGGCAGAGGCGGTTGGAGAAATTTGGTCTACAAATGGACTTCCAGGCCAGTCAGAGCTATATAGTGAGACATTGTCTCAAAACCTAAACAAAACCCAAAACAATAAAACAAAACACAAAAACAGTCAAAGGTAATGCTTTCTAGGATTTGACACCAAAGACGCAGCCAACAAATGAAAAAAAAAACTTCATGGAAATTTGTTTTTTGAATTAAATGACAGTATCGATAATTTTAAAAGACAGCCTACAGAATGGGAGAAAATGGCGCAAATCCGATCTGATAAAGCATTGCTTTCCATAATGTATAGAGAAGTCTTATGCTGCACGTTAACTGGAGCAAACCAATTGATCACGAGCTTGTTCAAATCCTGGAGCTGGTTTATTCGGAACGAAGCCGGCGATCAGGATTATGAAGAACAGCATGGAAGACAACCGTAGCAGAGAAGCCAGAGACCTTCAGTCCAGCCCAATTTAAAATCTAACCATTTTTGACTGGGCCCGCCTGAGGGCTGCAGCAACGTAGGCAGCCAAAGGGTTAACCCTTAAATCTACTGGTCGTTGAGGTGGCTGCTACCGAGAACCAGGCCACCTAACTGCCAGTAACCCCAAATCCCTGTCCTGGGTGGTTCCAGATTCTGGACTCAGATGGTTTCCCTGGGTTCCCATCCTCCACCCACGGAGACACTGGCTTGCTGGCTACCGCAAACGAACACAACACCCCCACCCCGCTTTAGTATCTGGGTTACCACCTTAAGGCCTCCTACAAGTCTCTGAAAGTGGCCCAGGTCTGGCTGAGATGCCTGGGATGACTGGGTGGGGGGCAGGGCGGAAAAGGGTGCAGGCGGTGAGGGTCTCCATTCTTCAGGCTACGATGGGAGATCAGAAATAGACACCACAGACTGCAGGTTAGAAACAAGGGGAAAAAAACGTCAAAACTGAGACGCCAGGCGAGGATCCCCAGCCTTGAGTGTGGGGATTGGAGAATAGGGTCCTTTCCTACACAATCACTGTCTCTCCGGGGGACCCCCTCCGCTCCTTCTGGGACCTCAGTCCATCCCCTCCCCCGCAAATCCTGCGTCCTTTGCGGATTGGTCCCGGGCTGCTGGGGGGCGGGGCCCTGAGGCCCTGACGTCACCGACTGGAGGGGTGAGCGGGCGACTGGGGGAGGGGGTGACGAGCCCCGGCTCAGCACCTCGGAGAGCTCCCTCCCTGGCCTTGTTTTGCTTCGGAATCGCTGCCGGGGGAGGGAGCGAAGGGGCCGGGCACTAGGAGTCGAGGCCGAGGGATGGCAGTGAAGAGGCCGAAGGGCCCCGGGGGGCAGAGGGCCCAGCCGTGATCCTGCGAGGGGGCCGGGGCTCCGGGTGGGGTGGGGGGCAGCGGGTGGCGGCAGCAGTGGCCTCACATCTGAATGGAAGCGAGCTTTGTCCAGACCACCATGGCTCTGGGGCTGCCCTCCAAGAAAGCATCTTCCCGCAACGTGATCGTGGAGCGCAGGAACCTGATCACCGTGTGCAGGTGGGCGCCGCTGGCGGTCCGGGTGAGGTGGTTAGAGAGAGGGTTTGGGGAGGGCTGAGAAATCTAAGGGTTGAACATGCCTACGGGGATGCTCTACAACCGCTGAAAACGGCAGGCCAGCCAGACTTAGAAGGAACGCGCTCGCTATCCTTCCCAGGCCCGGAGCCTGGAGGCGGACTGGAATGCCGGCCCTTATTCCTCTTGACTAAGCCAGGCCTATGCCCGGCCTGTGATTTTGGGGGGGATGAGGAGAGTTTAATTGGCACTGCAGCTTCCTGTGAGAACCAGGAAGTGACATTGTGTGCGAGAGGAGGAGGGGGAGGATGGCTGGCTCTCTTCCTGGCAGTGGGGGCAGGGTGGGCAGAGGGGACTCAATGGAGTTGGGGGTGGATGTCCTCCAAGTCCCCTATTGCCACCCCTGTCATCTTGGCCTCTTGGGGTGGAGCTTTCCGAAGAGACTTTTCTAAGCTCAACCCTTCTTGAAGCAAGGATGGTGTTTCTGAGCAGTTGCAGCCTGTGGCAGGTTCAACTGGGCGCACAGCAAAGCCCCTGAATCCATCAGTGAAGGTCGAGGCACTACCTTGCTGTAGGAAGCATCCAGGGCCTCGCTGCAGAAGCCTGGGCCCCTGATTGCGAGTGGAGACTGGGAGCCCAGATCCCCAAATCTCGGAGGGTGGGGCTGTTGCAGGGCTGGGAAATTCTCAGCTTTCTTGGACACCAGGAAGTAACCCTTCCCACTTCAGTCCTGCAGTGACTCACCCTCCTTGCCCTGCTCTGAGGCCAGAAAGCTGCCAGCTGTGCAGGCTCTCTCCCAAGCCCCCACCTGTCCTTGCCTCTTCCTCTGGGATCTCCATGCCAGCTGCCTTGCCCACCTGCAGCCTCCACGCCCGCCATGGCCACCAAATGCTTGGATTATATTGCTCCTGGGTGCAAGGTTGACTGTCCTTCCGTGCCAATCCCACCTGCCTGCACATAAACCTCAGCATAACTTCTCTGCCCACCCGATGCCCCGTCTCCCAGCACCCAGAGCTCCTTTGGGTACCAGGGCACCGGCCCAGCCATGTTGCCTCTGTCTCAGAACCTCCCCTTCCCAGTGTCTCGAAAGTCCTGCACGCACCGGCCCTGTGTGATTGATGGTGGCTGGGCTGTGTGGATGGAAGGAGTATATCGGTGACCTAGCCCAGAGCACAGACACTGTCTCTGCCCTCCTTCCCCAAATCCTGTCAGGGTGGTGTCAGGAGATTTCTGCCCTTGGATCCACATGGGCCTAGGATCAAGTTTTTGCTTCAGTCCTTAGCTGTGCAACCTTGTGGAGGTTTCCTAACCACTCTGAGCCTTTGGTGCTTTATTTTAGATCTTAGATTTTTACATCTTAGATGTAAAAGCTTGTACCACAGAATGGGTCATGTTGTGCCAGTTCCTGGCACGCAGAAACAATTATCTCAATGACACTCTTCTTGTCCCTGCTGGCTCTTGGCCATCTAGGTGCATATTTTTCTTGCCTGCCAGAATAGCTGGGCTCTGAGTGTTTGGTGGTGGTGGGGTGGGTGGGAGGGAGCCACTTGGCCTAAGATGGAGAGACAGAGGTTCGGGTGACTTGGGGGAAGCTCAGAGTGGGGAACAAGAGTTAGGGACATAACAAATTCTCCAAAGCCCCAGGGACCCCTGCTGCCTCCTCACTGTCACGTGGGTCTCCTCCAGCAGCTCCCTATAGCAGGTTGTAAGGCTCCCCTGGGCCCTGGCCTCCCTGTCTCCATGGTAACCCTCAGCTGCTATGCTCCTTCTAACCAGGCCCACACCATGGGGTTCCTAGAGGCCCTGACCAGCTTTCCACTCCCCCAAGGACAGATGGCAGATGGCTGCCATGCTGACCAAGCCCCAGGCCTCTACTGAAGTCTGACCCAGATGACCACAAATTGATGGTGCGCATAATAAGGCCCAGATAATGGCCTCCTGGCGGGGCCAGTCTTGACTCCTCACCTGGCCTGTGCCCAGAAATCCATAACTCTCACTTTCTGCCATCCTTGCCTGGGATCTGAACCAATGTTGAAGGAGGCAAGCTGGTATTTCCTTTAGCACCCAGGGAAAAGGCTTTGCAGCCAGCAGCCTGCTTCCCTCTAACACAGCCCAGCACTCACCTGTCTGGCCTCTACCCCTGGGGAAGCCCAAAGGAAGGTGGTGGAGAGAGGCCCTGTGGGTTGTGCTTGAGGGTCTTCGTGGCCAGTGTTCCAGTGAGACTTCTAGAGCAGACAACAGAGGGCAGGGACTTCTCGGAGCCTCAGTACTTGCTTGTATCTTTGATTTTATTTGTTTGTTTTTATTTATTTATTATTTATTTTTAGGCAGCATCTCTCTGTGTAGTTCTGGCTGCCCTGGAACTCACAGAAATGCTCCTGTCTCTGCCTGCTGAGTACTGGGACCAAAGGCATGTGCCACCACTCCTGGCTAATACTCTTTAAAAAGATGACATTTGCCGGGCGGTGGTGGCGCACGTCTTTAATCCCAGCACTCGGGAGTCAGAGGCAGGCGGATCTCTGTGAGTTTGAGACCAGCCTGGTCTACAAGAGCTAGTTCCAGGACAGGTTCCAAAAAACCACAGAGAAACCCTGTCTTGAAAAACCAAAAAAAAAAAAAAAAAAAAAAAAAAAAAAAAAAAGATGATATTTATGTGTTTGTTTACTTATTTTGTATGTGCATGTGCCACCATGTGAGTGTGGAGGTCAGAGGACAACGGATGGGGGTAGGAGCTCTCCTTCCACCACAGTGGTCCTGGGGTTGAACTTGGGTCGCTGGGCTTAGTGGCGTGTGCCTTTGTCCACTGGACTAGCTTACTGGCCAATTCTCAGTGATTATGATAGCCACTAGGAAGTAGTAAGACAGAGTAGAACGAGTCAAAGATGGAGAATAGGGCAAACACTTGCCTCCTCCCAAGTTACATGACTCTGATCAGTCCATCCCTGGAGCCTTTAGTCCCCGTACCTATAATATGCAGAAGGTGGTCATGAGAGGATCTACCTCCAGGGCGGTGACAAGGGCAGGTGGGTTGATACTTATAACATACAGTTCTGGACACATTGATCGGTGTGGTAAACGTGAGTAGAATAAAAGGACAGAGTCAAGTACCTCCCTTATGCCTGGACCCCTATCCTGCTGTCTCCAGAAACAGGTAGTGAGATGCTAGGAGCTGCACATCCTCTCCTTGTCCCACTCACCGCAGAGATGGCGAGAGGAGACTACAGAGGGAAGATGGTGGAGGATGCAGGAGGCTTGAGCAAGGCTGGGGAAAGTGGTGGGGCGGCTTGACTCCAACCCCTTGGCCTCACTTGCCTTCTTTGGCTTTCTCCCTGAGAAACCAGGGTCTGGGCCCCCACATCCCTTCCAGGGACCTACTGCCAGAGCTCCCTCCCACCTGATGTATGTCAGACCCGTACCCTGCGTTCTCCCCCCACGCCCCTAGCTCTACACTGCCTAGCTCTGGGCAGCTGGTGTGTGGGAGGGCTAGCTGAGAAGGGGGAGGAGGGATGTCCCGGAGCTGAGTATCCACCTGGCCGTGCATACATGCCTGTGTCCCACGTGCACAGCTCATGTGCTCTGGCACAGGTGACCCCCAGCCCCAGAGGGATGGGAGCTTGTTCCAACAATGCTGAAGACTGTCTGGGGGTACGGGTGTAAACTGACTTCTGACTCCTGGCTGACCCTCAATCCACACGTACAGAAAATGCCACTCTGAAGGGTGATGGGGACAAAGGGTCTGGGGAGGCTCCCTGAGCTCTTGCTGTCTCGTTTTTCTACATATGGCTTCATCCTCCCTCATACCTAGTCCCTGAAGCTCCCTTTCTCTGGCTGTCTCTTCTGCACCCACTTTGCCAATCAGTGTCCTTCCTGTCCTCTTCCCTGCACCTGTCGCCGTCTTATCCCAGCTGGCTGGGAATCTCCTGGGGTCACTCTGGGTTCATCGGCCCCCACATCAATCCATGCCCTTCGGGACCCCTTCTCTGCCTATTCCCTCCTCTCTGACCCCTGCCCTGTCTGACCCTCCTCCCGCTCCCCTCCACCACCCCCTCCAGGTTCTCTGTGAAAACCTTGCTGGAGAAATACACAGCAGAACCCATTGATGATTCATCTGAGGAGTTTGTTAACTTTGCAGCCATTTTGGAGCAGATCCTCAGTCACCGGTTTAAAGGTAGGCCGTCATCACCCACCCCTGCCAACTGCAGCCTGTGGCTCTAGCCACCACCCTGCTCTGATTGATACCCTCTTTGGGTTCCTAAACCCCATCCCTGGTCCGGGGCCTGATTCTGGGCTATACATAGAAACAAAAGCACAGTCCCAGGAGACTGGGGAGAGGGTCATCTGCCCACAGCTCCATCACTGGGCATGGAGCTCTCTCTGCCAGCAAGCCTGCTGCTTACAGTGGGGGAGGCTGTACATGTATGCGTGGCGGCTCATGCTTATACATGTGAGGGCTTTATGACATGAACCCTTTCCAAACTCCCTGGTCCTGAGTCCCCTCCCTGCCCTGGCTCAGCTTGTGCCCCAGCAGGTCCAGTGAGCTGGTTCAGCTCAGATGGGCAACGGGGCTTCTGGGACTACATCCGACTGGCCTGCAGCAAGGTGCCCAACAACTGTGTGAGCAGTATCGAGAACATGGAGAACATCAGCACAGCTCGAGCCAAGGTGAGGGGCTGCACGCCTGACCCCTGCTTTAGACATAGGGCCCTGTTCTTACCCCTTGCCTACAGCACTGGGAAAAGAGACCAGACCTGATGTTGGATACATTGTTCCCTCTGGGATAACTAAAGGTAACCAACCATGTTTTCTAGGGCCGGGCATGGATCCGGGTGGCTCTGATGGAGAAGCGTATGTCAGAATACATCACCACAGCTCTTCGGGACAACCGAACCACCAGGTCAGACCTCTTGAACATGCACATTCATTGCCTAAGTCCTAGGTCCCCACAGCAACCTTCAATACCTGGACTACAAGTTCCAGCATGCACCAGTTTGGCCTCTCCCAGAGGTCTTGGTAGGGACTGCAGAAACCTCAGTCACATACCATTTTACTTGGCTTTGTGCCATGACCTACAACATGCAGCCCTGCCAGCTCTGCAAACAAAGGCAGTCACACTATTCTTCCAAGAACAGAATTTCAATGTGTGGAGCTTCAGTGCCTGGCCTGGGGGTTTGCCAAGAAGGCGGGTCCGGAGGGTCATAGATCACAAGGCAGAACGTGCCATTGTGGGGTGGGAAACTATTGAGGTTGGGGGAGGGGGTCCTCCAACCTCATTTTTATTTTTACTATGTTCTATCTATCTCCAGTCTGCATATTTCAGAGTTGTTGAGGATCTACTGTATGTATGACGAACACTAATGACTAAGACATGCTCCCTGATTTGAAGTATTGGGGTGACCCAGTGCTTGACAGAGGCTGCTTAGCTCAGAGAACAGAAGAGTGCCTCTTGTCAAGACGCATTCATATAATAGGTGTGGGGGTGGGGTCAGGTGCAAGCTCCAGTGAGGGGAAACAATGACCACCGCTGGTGAGCCAGAAGTAGTCTTCTTCCTCCAGAGAAGTCCTGGGCACGGGGCCGCTTGGGAGTCTCTGGTTTCTTCTCCATGCAGACGGTTCTATGACTCCGGAGCCATCATGCTGCGGGAAGAAGCCACTGTCCTTACGGGGATGCTGATTGGGCTCAGCGCCATCGACTTCAGGTGAGGTGTGCATGGCGGTAGCGAAGGGGACTTTCTCCCCCACAACTGTCCAACGCCCCTCATTCCCTCCTCCCCACCCCTGTGGCTCTTCTGCCCCAGCTTCTGTCTAAAGGGCGAAGTTCTGGACGGGAAGACACCGGTGGTCATCGATTACACGCCCTACTTAAAGTTCACCCAGAGGTGAGCAGCCCCGTTATGGCTGTGGGTGAGGAGATGGGCACCGGAAGGTCGCCGAGCGTCATCCTGGTGTCACTACCCAAGGGGCGGAGTTGGGGTACTAGTGGGGCGAGGCGGGGTGGAGCTGGCCCCACCCACTGCTCCCGCTCCTAAGCTACGACTACCTGACGGATGAGGAGGAGCGGCACAGCGCGGAGAGCAGCACCAGTGAGGACAACTCTCCTGAGCACCCCTACCTGCCTCTGGTCACCGACGAGGACAGTTGGTACAGCAAGTGGCACAAGATGGAACAGAAGTTTCGAATTGTCTATGCACAGAAGGTTGAGTAGGGCGAGGGGCGGGAGCTGGGCGTGGTGTGGGCAGTGTCCAGGCTGGAACCCCAGCTGGGACCCCTTTAGAAGTCCGGGCTGAGCTGGTTCCCCACAGGGATACCTGGAGGAGCTGGTGCGTCTGCGGGAGTCGCAGCTGAAGGACCTGGAGGCGGAGAACCGGCGGCTGCAGCTGCAGCTGGAGGAAGCCGCAGCTCAGAATCAGCGTGAGAAGCGGGAACTGGAAGGCGTGATCCTGGAGCTGCAGGAGCAGCTGTGAGCCCACCTCCTGTCCTGCCCTGATCTCTGTGACCCCCAAAATGACTCCAAGGATGGCATCACTTTCCTGACACCAACATTCAATTTGCATCAGCCCACCCATCCCATCACCTCTCCCCCAAGATCCTGTGGTGGCCACACATTACCCCAACATTAAGATCTCGCAGCCTCCATCACCCTCCAGCTAGAGACACCAGGCTCTGGCGCAGGGACCGCATTACTCAGAGGACCTGGCTTTCAGCCTTATTGTACCTCCCCCACTGTTTAGGCCTCTGGTCTGCAGCGCCCAGGGATCCCACAACCTAGACCATTCTTCCCTAAACAAATCCCAGCTAGCTAACACAAATCCCACTCCTTCAAGAGTACCCACCCTCTCCACTTTCCTCATCCCAACTGACTCCTAAACCCTCCTTCACTCCAACTCCCTACATAAACACACTAATCCCAGCCCCTTCTGCCCCCAGGCTAGCTCATACTCTTCCAACACTGCCTTCCTGGCCTCTTAGAAACAGCCCCATTAAGTAGCAGGCCTGAGACTAGTGCTCCTTCTGCCTCCACCTCCTAGCGCTGGAACTCCAGATGTGTGCCACCATGCCTGAGCAGCACTTAGCCTCAGCTTTGCTACTCAGGATTCCTTCCTAAGCTCTGCCCCCAACTTTGCTGAGTCTTGCTTCCCCCTCCCAGCCAGGCCTGATCCCCCTCCCCCTCCCAGGACAGGTCTGATCCCCGGTGACCATGCCCCCCTGGCCCAGGGTTCCAAGGAGTTCACTACACCTCTGGTCAACCAGTGGCCCTCCCTGAGCACACTCAATAGGCCTGAGGGTGCCAGCAACTCAAAGCTCTATCGGAGGTAAGCCCCAACCCAATTGCCGCCCCCAAACCCCACTCCCAGGAAACAGGGCTTGGAGCTATGGGCCCGCATGCTTTTCTGTTCTGCTATAGACACAGCTTCATGAGCACCGAGCCGCTGTCTGCAGAGGCCAGCCTGAGCTCAGACTCCCAGCGCATGGGAGAGGGCAAGCGGGATGAGGAACCCTGGGGCCCCATCGGTGAGCACAACCCCCATCCCCACACACACCACAGCACTCAGTATACTTCAGAAACTTGCTGGGGGTCCGCAGTGAGGCCATGGCTGAACCCCTTCTCTCAGCCCTTCCTGTGCTCACAGCACCAATGAGGAGCCTGATTTGGGGTTTCTGAGAGAACCAAGTGCAAACTGAAGCTGCACCCCCTCTACCTGTGAGCTTGGTCAGTCTCACCTCACTGACCCAGATCCCCATCTCTAAAATAGGGACATTGGTAAAAGGACTCTCTAGTGTCCGTATATGCAGAGGCCTCAAGGACATTTTAGTAAGACATCCTCATAGCGCACACTCCAGGGACTCCTCACCCTAGCCTTCTCTTACCACAGGCACACTGTGAACTGCTTACCTGACCTGTTTCCCCTTCTCTTTGGCTGCCAGGAAGCTCAGAACCAAATTAGTGACTCCCTCCGAGTGAAGGCCCAGGACTTCAACGCATGCATTTTGTGTTGACCTCACCCCTGGCTCCACCTTGGTTTCTCCCTTCCTAGCTTTCCCCATGCCTGGACTTTCTTTCTTCTTCTTCTTTTTTTTTTTTTAAATATATAGATATATAACTACACTGTATTAGATAACTGGATTTTGAGACATGGCAGGCTTTGGACATGTAACCCACCACACTTTTTGTGACTGTGTGTGTGTGTGTGTCTCCCCAATCAGACTGTGAGCTCCGTGAGGGCAGGGATCATGTCTTGTCCATTCTCTGTATTCCCAGAGTGTGAAACAGAGCAAATGCTCACTGTGTGCTTAATAAATGGACAAAGAGGCTGAACCTCAGGGGGAGACAGAGACATCACTGATGATTACAACACAGTGTCCCACGCCCGTGCAAGGCATGCTCGATCAGGGTTTAATTAAAAGTGGCAGAAGAGGCCACAAGTCTCCTGGGGTGACCCGAGGATTGTCCTTTTACTGCTCATCCATGAAGTCTCCTGTCCCACATACACACAGCCTGGTTGGCCCAGCCTCACCCACCCTCTCTCCCCAGGGAAGGACCCCACGCCCTCCATGCTGGGCCTCTGCGGCTCCCTGGCCTCCATTCCCAGCTGCAAGTCTCTGGCGAGCTTCAAATCCAACGAATGTCTGGTGAGCGACAGCCCAGAGGGCAGCCCGGCACTCAGCCCGAGCTGAGGAGCAGCACGGGCAATGCCAGCCCCACCTGACAGCCCCGAGGGCAGCCTGGCACTCAGCCTGAGCTGAGAAGCAGCATGGGCAATGCCAGCCCCACCTGCCAGGGACCACAGACAACTGCCACCATGACCCCAACCCAGGCAACCCTTCAAGAATGCTGCCCACCTAGCTGAGGGTCTCTAGGGAAAGACAACCAAACCTCTTTCTCGCTTCTGCTTCAGGCCAAAGAGGCAGGAGCTGCAGTGGGAAGTGGTGGGGCCAGGAGGGAGGAGCACCCGGGGCACAGGTAGCCAGGCCCCTGGGGAGGCTGGTGGTCCTGAAGCCTTCCTGGCTCCCTTTGCTCATCTTCTACACCTGCCTCAGGAGCAGGTGGCCCAGCCCTGGCATTCCTGCTGCCCTGCCTCTGGTCTGTCCCTGTGTACCCTCTGAAGTCACCCTTCCTTGGTACCTATGTGGGGCGAAAATAGCAAATAAAAACCAGAGGACTGAGGTGGCTTCATCTCTGGGGAGTGGGGTAGAGCTCCATTAACAGGGTCTCTCTTGTTCTTCTTTTAACAAGGTCTCTTAAGGCAATGGTGTCAGACCAGTGTGTAGGAGCACGTGGAGCCGTAACCCAGGGCTTCTGTAGATCTGCAGTGCACTCTGGGTCTGACCTCCTCTCATACCTTCCCAAGCCCTGCAGAGCCCTCTGAGGGTGTGCCTCAGTGGGGCACTTGCTTGCCACAGGTGCAACTCCATTGTGGCCCAAAGTTGCAGTCCATCCATTATGCCAGAGCTGGCAAGTAGGCAAATCTGCCCCAGTGATACCACCCTGGCATGTACTTAGGGAGATCGCCTCTTGCTTTCACCCCAACACAGTGACCTAGCATAGAAAGGCCTCACCACCACTTCAGCAACCTTCTAGCCTCATTCTATCTGACTGGATACCCCGTAAGGTGGGAAGCTTTTAAGACAGGGTCTCTGCCCGGCCAAGGACTCACTATATAGACTCGGATCCACCTACCTTCAACTCTCTAGTGCTGGGATTAAAGGTGTGTACCATCATGCCAGGTTTTTCGAGACAGGGTTTCTCTGTAGTTTTGGAACCTGTCCTGGAACTAGCTCTTGTAGACCAGGCTGGCCTCGAACTCACAGAGATCTACCTGCCTCTGCCTCCCGAGTGCTGGGATTAAAGGTGTGCACCACCACTGCCGAGTTTTTTTTTTTTGAGACAGAATCTTGCTATGCAGTCCTGGTTGAACTGGTATTTGAGGCAACCTCCTGCCTCAGCTTTCCAAGTACTGGAATAACAAGCGTGGGCAACTGACTGGGGACCCCCAAACGCACACACATACCCCAAGACACCGCAGCCACAGCAGTGCACAGAAGGTCATCTTCTTTAGACAGGGAATAAACAAGGCTGCCTGGCCCGGAGAGCCTGATTACCCAGGGCCAAGCTACAACAAACATCAAGAAGATACAATGAAAGGGGCAGCTGTCAGATTTGGTCTTCAACTTGGAGGTGGACAAATGCTGACCACGGGAAGGGGAACAGCAGGAGTGGAAATGTGGGGTACTAGATGACTGGGTTGGGGAGAAGGCACTTGGCTTAGTCTCCTGTCCCCACCCATGCAAGAGCTGGTTGTTCCTCGCCTTTCAGTGGCCCAGAGGCTGTTCCTGGTTGAGCCTCTGGAAGAAGCTTTTGCCAAACTCGTACGTGCTGATCATGATGGCACAGGAGGGAGCAGCCTTGATGATCCTTGGGAGGAAACCTGTGATGGGAGGTCAGACCTTGGTTACGGGTCCAGGTCCCTTCCCATTCACACATAAGAACATGGATGTTCATAGAACACAAACACGTGCACAGACAGGCACCCACCTGCAAAGAGTCCCCTGGTGCCCGATTCAGCTCGGATTCTTCGAAGCAGGAGCCAGGTGGAATCAACTCTTGGGGGCTTCACTGCAGATTCAAGGCCCAGGTCAGTAGTACCCAGTTTGGGCCCTGCCTGCCCTCCGCCTTGGCTAGCCCTGCTCACCTCTCATGGCCTCCACTGCTCCCAGTGCGATCTGCCGCTGGGTCTTCACCACATCGAAGGGTAGAGTGAGGGTGGCAGCTACCTGGTGGGATGGCGAGAGGGCTCGGCTCGGCACCCAGGCACCGTTCCAGCCCTTCCATAGCTCCCGGAGGGACTAAGGCATCTCAAAGATGGCTGAGGAAAGTGAGCAGGCTCCCTGGCAGGCATTGCTATGTGGGGACTTTCTGGGCATCCCTACTAACTCTCACTCAGGGTCCTGCAGAACACCCCTGGTGGCCTCACCCCCAACCCAGTCAGCTCACCATTCCTGAGATGCCACCAGCCACAAAGCTGACGCCCACAGATGTCTGGTCCTTTGGTCTTAGCCCGTTCAGCCAGCTCTTCACCAGCTCGTAGTTGAACCAGTACAGAGCTTGGGAAGTAGACACACTCATTACAGGTGGGGGCCATGGTGAGCTCCAGACTTCTCACCTCCCACCCCAGGGGCAGGCTTGCCTGCCCTGTACCTCAGCAAAACCCCTCCCTGCCAAGTCCTTATCACAAATAAGAACCCCCAAGGCTCGGAGAAGTGACAAGTTCATGGCCATTAGTAACAACGGAGGAACTTGGCTGGAGAGCCCTTGAACATTATCCAAGGGCTCTTTTACCCTATGCCCTGAACCCAGGTGCCTACCTGAGAAGGGCACATCTCGAAGGGCTGTGGGACCCCAGCCCAGCCACAGTGAGCGCCAGCCCCCCTGGGCCACCGAAGCTTGAACACAGGTAGCCAGTTCCCGGTATGACACGTGCTGAGCCTGTAGCTTGGTCCGCACAAGCTCCAAGGGGCTGATCACTGTCACAGTGCCCATGCGAGCGAGGGCACCAGCAACCATGGGTGCGTAGAGGTCAGAGGTCAAGGACTGACCACATAGGAAAGCCTTGAGTTGGTCGTAGGCAGTGAAGTAGACGGCAGTAGCTGGCACAGTCATCACCCTGGGAGCATGAAGAGGCAGAAAAGTCACCTGAGGGCTCCCAGTCCTTTCAAGCATTCCCTCCCTCACCCTGCCAAGAGGATTCAAGGGAAGGAAACACCCCACACTGGGGTACTCACAGGGTGGCTGGGAGGCCGCTCCACAGGGTCCTAGTGCCCTCATGCCTCACGATCTTCACAAAGGCATCCTGATCAAGCCAGCACCGGCCCAGAGGAAAGATGGACATGAGCAAGGTCCATCACACACTTGTGACGGATTGGCTCAGGCCTGGCCCAATGCCCTCAGCCTCTGCCCATAGTCCTGAGTACTGATAAGAGCTAGTTTGCCCCTCAGGCTGCCACAGATGCAACTCCCCATATGATTCTAGGGGGGCTCCTACTCACCCATTAAAACCTTAGTACCAGAGTGCTGGACTAGCACGCATTAGCATATTAAGGTCATGGTTTTGATTCTCAGCATCAGGACCAGAAGTCCTTCAGGGAGAATCCCAGGCAAGCCCTTCCTACACCAACCGGTCAGCCACACCTCAGGTACACGGTAGCTCTTTACCAAGGTGCCAGTGAATCGGGTCGGATCCTGAAACCAGGTGGCACAGCGAGGGCCGTTGGGGCACAGGTACAGGGGCTCCAGGACACCGTTGCAGTAGAGGAGACACTTCCCTGGGGATTGTAGAGTAGAGGGTGCTGGAGAAAGGGGGCGGGCATTAGGGCAGCAGGGCCTGGAACCTAGCTGGGTGGCAGAGCTGGTGGAGAGTCCTGTATAGGACCGAAGGCTGGCTAATGTGAACCGGAAGTACTAGTACTAGGTACTAGTCTATGACCAAGGGCACCCAAGGGACACTGGGACACGTCTTCCCTGGGCCCTTCCAGGCTCCTGTGACTTGGGGCACTCACATTTGGTGTAAGAGAGACTCCAGAATCTGGAAGGAGGTGTCAATTCTGAAATACAAGTCATCCACGGTGATCAGGAATGTCCCCCACACGGGTATCCCATCTCAGGAAGATCCTTATTTTGTCCACCCTCTGTCTGGCTCCAGGTTCAGGTACTCACCACTGGCTACTGAGGGCCTCTGAGACTGAAGGCGGACCTTCACCACATCCAGGGGTGTCACTGGGGAAGGAAGAAGGTCCGAAGGCTCCTCAGGTACCCCACTCACCCTCTTCATCAGGACTCAAACTGCTTCCAACCACTACCCCACATCAACCCCCAGCTGCCCGTGCCCCATCTCCCTAGGGCTTACTGAAGAGGGAGGTGACCACAGCCCCAGCTCCTGAGGCCACCATTTGCTGAAGGGGGCTAATGCCCCCAGGATCCTGATCATCCATCTTGGAGGTTCAATTCTGAAAAAAAAAAAACCGTGGTCAAATGGCGTTTACCTCCTGACAAGAACGGCCTGGGGAGAGACAAGCACGAGGGAAGGCACACGGGGACTTCACCACAACGCACTCGGGGCTCATCCAGAGCTTGCCTTTATAACCTTGGAAAACTGTAAACGTCTTCACTTTGTCAAAGGGGAAACTAAGGCTCAAGACGTGCGGTGACCTTCAAGGTTACGTCACTAGTTTGGAAAGAAGCTACTACAGCCATTGGCCCTGGCCATTTTCTCAGCCACATGCTTACTATATGCACCTCCGGACTTCAGAGGCCAAAAGATCGAAACACTTGGGCCTTGCCTCTCCACCCAACATCTATCGGGGCGGCCACATGAGCGCTCTGGACGAGGAGAGGTGGAGCTGGGCATCAAGAGAAACGTGTAAACAAATCTGGTGATAGAGACGAAGGTCCATATTGCCTCTCGAGATTGCTGGCCCTCCCCCACACTGCCGGCCCAGGCTAGACCGGCCAGGCCGGGAGGCCCGGAGGGAGGCCACCCTCTGTCTCCTCTCCCTCTTAAATACAAACCGCGGGCTCAACCGAGACGGAAGCAGAGACCCGGTAACAAACCCGCTCTCCGAGATTCGGCCACACTCCATGCCCAGGCCCAGGCAAGGGGCGCCTGCCGAGGCTCACCGCTTCCCGAGCCTCGACTGGGGTTCCCGGGGACCCTCGGAGAACCCACTCCAGTTCCGGTCCGCCCACCTGGCTCTGAGCCGGTGCTTGCGCCGCGCCGCGCCAGGGGCCTGGCGGGCCCATAGCGGCTCCGCGGCCGGTGCAGGGTCCGCGCGTGCCCGCTCCGCACAGCGACCGCGTAGGAGAGCGGCGGAGATGGCCCCGCCCCCAGCGGCCCTAAGCTCCGCCCCGCGGGCCGACTGGCCGCGCGCACGGAGTGCAGCGGGACCCGCCCCCTCCCACCCGAGTCCCGCCCTTGCGCCGCGGCCCCGTGGGCGGGTCCCCGCTGCCCAGCGCTCCCCGCAGCCCGCAGGTCAAGGTCCCTGACTGCAGGGTGCGTGCACCTGGCTGCGCTAACTCTATCCCGCCCGCACCCCGCAGGAGCGCTGCCGGGGGAGTACGGACCTGCACTTTGCAGACCGCGTGGGTACTGCTGCTCCGCGCCCTCTCTAAG